CATGATTGTTTAGCAGAAAGCTAGATAGGAATATTGCTTAATGTCATTTTCTCAGTTGAGACATGCATCTTGACAAGCAGACACCTGACCAGCAGATCCCTGTAGAGTCAACAGGCCGGTAACAAATGGTGTCCCCCAAGGGTCTGTCTTGGGACTGGTGCTCTTTAATATCTTTATTAATGACATCGATGAGGGAATTGAGTGCACCCTCAGCAAGTTTGCTGACGACACCAAGCTGAGCGGTGCGGTTGATATGGTGGAAGGAAGGGATGCCATTCAGAGGGACCTTGACAGGCTGGAGGGCTGGGCTCGGGTGAACCTAATGAGGTTCAACACGGCAAAGTGCAAGGTTTTGCATTTGGGCCGGAAGAACCCCAGGCACCCGTACAGGCTGGGAGGAGTGGTCCTTGAGAGCAGCTCGGCAGAGAAGGACCTGGGGGTCCTGATGGACGAGAGTCTGAACATGAGCCAGCAGTGCGCTCTGGCAGCTCGAAAGGCAAATGGGATCCTGGGCTCCATCAGGAGAGGGGTGGTCAGCAGGGACAGGGAGGTGATTGTCCCTCTCTACTCGGCTCTTGTGAGGCCCCATCTGGAGTACTGTGTCCAGGTGTGGAGCCCTCAGTACAAGAAAGACAGAGAGATGTTGGAAAGGGTCCAGAGGAGGGCGACTAAGATGATCAGGGGGCTGGAGCACCTCCCCTATGAGGACAGGCTGAGGGAGTTGGGCTTGTTCAGCCTGGAGAAGAGAAGGCTGCGGGGTGACCTCATTGCAGCCTATCAATACCTGAAGGGAACCTACACCCAGGAGGGGAGTAAACTCTTCAAAAGGGCTGACAGTACCTTTCAGTATCTACAGGGGGCAATAAGAAGGAAGACGCTTTAGCAGGGTCTGTGGTGACAGGACAAGAGGAAATGGTATTAAATTAAAGGAGAGGAGATTTATGTTGGATATAAGGAAGAAGGTTTTTCCAATAAGAGTGGAGAAGCCATGGAACAGGCTGCCCAGAGACAAAGATGATTCCCAGTACCTGAAGGCATTGAAGGTGGTCTGGTCCAGGCCGTGAGCCCCTGCTGGAGCTGTAGGTGGCTCTGCTCATTGTAGGGGAGTTGGACAGGATGACCTTTTAGGGTCTCTTCCAGCTCAAATGATTCTATGACTCTGTGAACCTTTCCATGTACGGAGCAAGATGTTTGGCTGATCCTGCAAACCCTGGAAATTGAGGCATGTGAATTCATTCAACAAATGTGTATTCCAGATTAACCCTTCCTTCCACTTTCAGTTTTAAAGGTTTTATGAAAGTGAGTACCCCTGAAATTTCTTAATGCTCAAACATTGATAGAAATAATTGTTTATTCATAAGTGGTTCGCTGGTAGATCCTAGAAACTGGAAGCTGATTTTGTCATTTGTTTATTTAATGACTCTGATGACCGATACCTGACTGACTCTGATACCTTTCACACATACCCTTCTCATGGCATGCATCTGAGATAATGCATTAAGCTCTATACAATTTTGTGGAAAACAAATAGGAGTGCATTTGCCTGCTTCATTTACCTTCACTGCAGCAGACTGAATTTTGTGTTATAAAAGAACAAAGATGGCCATCAAAAGTCATTTCTAAATCTATGCAGAACATAAATCCTTCCAAGTCTAATTTTTTTTTTTAATATTACTAAATATAAATTGTTATTTCATATTCTCATATTGCCTTCTTTTAGTCTGACAGCTGAAATCCTTCCTCTCTCTCTCTCTTTTTTTTTCTTTCTTTCTGTAAATATCCTCTTTGATGCCTTTTTGATCCCTTTCAAAAGTACTTGGAGGTTTCCCAAAGAACCCTTACAACCATGCCTTGTCTAAGTCTACTATACCATGCGATACTTCATATAACCCACAGGAGAGACTTTGAAATTAAGTCTACACTAACCACCTAATTCAAAATGTAGATAACTAATTCCATTTAGTTTATTAGACTGAATCATACTTTATTTACAGAATGATCTGCCTTAAAATAACAATTAAAACCAGTTGTTTTTATGTTATCACCATCTGGACCTTTTAAAGAAAAATCTAGTAAATAAAGTCAGCTGATTGATAAGGAGTCTCTAATGTTATTCCTCTGTAAGGAATTTCTATCTTCCATATTCCATCACTTAGAGGGGTAACTGTCTGATACGCAGAGCAGAAGAATCAAGCTTAACAGATGATGTTTTGCTTCTAACAGAGCGATTTAGAAGACAATGAAACTTGTGCTAACAGTAGAATGCAGACATAACCATCAAAATACATCAGAAAAAAAGGCTTTGAGAATGCAGTTCACAGGGCATGGAATAGCAGTGCAGTTCTGTGCCCTGGACCAGATTCTGCACTGTGCTCTCCTTTCTGCTCTGCAGCCTGGAAGGCAGGCTAATCCTATGAGAGTGAATGTTTACGAGCGCTCATGTTGTCTAATCTCAAGATACTTAAAATCTGTGATACTTTTTTTTTTTTTTTTATGGAGAGTTTATAGAACCGAGGCTTACTCAGAATCTGGCTCCATGTGTTTAAAATGGGGAAATACCCACCTCTGGTTCCTGTGCAGCACTGTGAGATATGCATATCATAGTGCTCACGCAGCGTACACCTCCAGCTGCAGGACTTCTGCAAGTTTAAACATAACTCGTGAAGGGATGCAGCTAAACATTTGAGACTGCAGCTGTTCAGAGGACTTTATGATGTATCAGCCAATAATAAAGTGTTTTTCCCATGATATGGATTCCATTGATTTCTTCTGGGGATAAAATTAGACAAATTGACTCATGTCTGTGTTATTGTATTCAAATTATTGATTGGTAACACCTCCAATATCACATTTTTACTTTTATCTTGATATCTTCAGCACCACATGAAGCCAAACTGCATGTCAGACCCGAGGGAAATTACCACTATACCTTTCACCATCCCTTTCTCTTTATTAGCTCTTCCTCATGCTTGGTTTCAATACCCCTAAAATAATGCATTATCATATCTAAGATGGCAAGACTCTGATGCCATACATGATCGGTTATTAATCATTTAGCAGTGGCTTCATACAGTGTATGGGAGAAAGCCATACAGTGTGGTTTTTTTCCTCCAAATATTATGCAGTTCCAAACATACCTATGCTGCTGGTATGAAAAATACTGTTTTCAACAAAGCAAGCATTTTCCACCAGAAGAAAAAGATGTTCTTCATAGGAGATCTTCTGATGCTATTTGAAAGACAGTGCCAGACACTAGTAGTCTAATAGTCTAATAGGATTTTACAATTTGCAAAACCTTCATCAGCATATTGTCTATAATAACATCTTCAGCCTGCAGTTGTTGGTTGGTTTTATCCCATCCTTCAAAGAAACTTCTGCACAGTGCTGGTGCTGCTAACCATAAGTCAATCATCTGAACTGAAACATATCATCAGTGATGAAGACAGGTGCTGAATATGATTCACTGCAGAACTGAAATATTTCACATTCACATTCTGTGGGCAGTGAAGACTAAAATTTCCCATCCAGGAATGCAGAAGATTCAAGCTAAATAAAGAGTCAGAGGCAACATTTTCTTGATAGCAGTTGCATTGTAGTTTGGAGAATATGGGTTACTTCTTCTTATATGCATCAGAAAAAATAACTGGATGGCAGCTTAATTATCATTCTTTTTTACTGTTAAAATACAGTTTCACCAGTCCTCGTGGTAATGAAGTCTGGCTAATTCTTAGCATAAAGTATCATTTCCTGAACAGTGTTTCTTGATGTGAAAAGTGCCTGCAAAGTACATCTCTGATACATCCTGATATTCTATTATCAGGAAAACAAAATTTGATTTACTTTTACAGCTATTTATCTGCTTTCTGTTAATATGTGGGCAAAACTCAATAACATCTAGCAGCCTGGAAAAAAACTGCTTTGATTTTAACTCTTCTCCAAAATTATTTACATCTCTCCAAGATGCCCACAACATTTTGTTCTGGATAGCTGTGGCATCCATCTAAAATAACTTCATTTATATATATCCTTTCCTTCTTTTCCTTTTTCTTGTCTTCTCTGAAAATTAAATAGTTAACAAAAACTATCCATACATAATCATTAACTAATCTGCCACCACATCTCTACTACAAAGTCTTCAGTCATCAGTGGAATATTTATTATTCTGCTAGCCATAAACCTGAAATGTCAGTATCACATCATGCTTCTGCCTTTCTAGCAACCCTGAGTCTGAAACCATGTTAATCCAGAAGAAAGGACCAATGTCCTTCAGATCAGTGAGTGAAATCTTACCTGTTTCATGGAGAAGGCGTTAGGGTTCCATGGGGACAGGGTACTGCTGAAACTTGCCTAGTTTATATGCAAAAACAGCATGCTGATACACTGTCTCTTAGGTCAGCATCAAGTGAAAAATAAAAGACTGGGAAAGACTACAATACTGGCATGTGATAATGGGGATCAGAACAGCCCATCTAATCTCTAATTGTACAAACAGTCCTTATTGACACAGTTTTTCACTAATCCTGTTGGACTATTTGCTGGGTGTCCTGCCAGCCAATGTCTTGCCAAAGACTCACAAACTTGAAACGCACGTTGAAATGAATAAAATTGCATCTTCATAACACGTTGTATTTTACCAGTTCCATTGCTTGGGATACTTGGAACAACATGAGTAGATTTGTTAAGAAAAATAACGATAACAGGTTGTACAACCTGCTGACAGGTAAACAAGTTTATTTTTCTTCCTCATTCTATAATTTCCCTATTACTCAGGCTCAGTTTGACATCATCTCTCTGCAAGGGGCTGCTGCTGTTTGCCTCTTCACACTCAGCCATCAAACAGTGAATTGTGTTTTCTGCTCCAAAGCAGAAACAGAGAAACAAATAATTGATTTGGCAGAACAGATTCCATAAATACAAAAAAAAAAGGGCATTCCCTTGGAATAATTCAAAACTTATCCTGAAAATTTGACCAGCTTTGTTATTGTCACTGTTGCTGTTAGCTTGTAAGCATTTTTCTCCTGAGTGTCCTCCTTCTGGAAAAGATTTAATCTTATCAGTGCTCTCCATCACTTAAATTCTAGTATAATTCCTCTTCTCTCTAGAGGCTGTAGAAACCAAAGCATTAGAAAGATTTTTTAATGGAATTTAGGCTAAAAAGGAAAAGAAAGAAAGGAATATTGCAACAGCATGTAAGAGCTTAACTCCAAAGACTACTGATGAGAATGAAAAAGCCGGCCGCACTACAGGCTTGGTAACCATAATTTCTGATTGAGCAAAGACATATGTAAGTAAGACAGAAACAAGAGCTCTCTGTTTCACTCCATCTGTGATTCAAACTTATTGCTCTTCTAAGGAGTGTGCAAGAAGCACTTCATATGTTTTAATGTATTGAACAAACAATGGAGACAGGGCCAGCAGACTGAGGCTGGCTGTTATTGGCTCTTCCCTTCCAAATGCATTTTTTTCTGCTTCATTGCAAGGATGTGGACTACACTAATGACAATAATATGCGTGGCTAAACATTGCTATAACTTTAATATATTACTGTGTATTCTTGAAGATAAACTCTGAGGGAAAATCAAATTGAATTATGAATTGCAGTTGTTTTGATGACACAAAAAACTTGCATAACCTGAACTTAGAAGGTAAAACTAAGCTTTATAAGCTTAAAACCAAACTTAAGCTTTCAGACCAGAGCAGCCTGGTCTAGTGGCCGACCCTGGCCACAGCAGAGGTTTGACACTAGATAATCTTTAAGGTCCTTCTCAACCCAGGCCATTCTATGATTCTATGATTCTATGATTCTATGATTCTATGATTCTATGATTTATCATGCCCCAAAGATGAAATTTACCATCACCGATGCATAATGGAAACAACTTGCATTTGAATGTGAATTTTCTGGTGATTTTTAATCAAGACCTTATCAAGAAATTTTTCACCCTTTTTCTCCGTCTATGTACCCAGCAGCAAGGAGAGCATGCAGGATTTGTTCTTACTGATAAGCAAGTCTGATTTTTCCCAGCTCTCAATCTGCTACCCAATGAATTGCTGAAACACTGCAAAGGTCTTAAGACAAGGTGATGAACTTGGAAGATAATGAAACTGGAAAGGGAGAAGGAGATAGAATCTGCTTTTAATTTGTGGTACTGAAGGGACAGTTTGGGAAAACAACAATGAAATTTGTGGCTTCCATTTATCTTTTCTTGCAAGCTTTTGTTTTTGTGTTTGTTTTTTTTTTAATCAAACTTACAATGGGAAGATTTTCCATTTTTCAGTCACATTGAGTGCTTCTTGAAATTTTAAAAGATACTTGCACTAACTTTTTGTTTATTGCAGCGTTAATTAGTTTTCCCAATATACGCGAACATCTCTTGAGACATGAACATACTTTTAAAATACCTATATATGTTTTAAAACAGTCCCAATAGTAGATGTTATTACCATGAATTTTCCCTTATATTTAGAAGACCTGGAAGTACCATGCTTTATTTGGCTCTCTGTTATCAGAGTGATTAAATTTCCAAATTCTGTTCACTGTATTAGATTTCTGAGGAACACAAAGAACTGTGACAAAAAAAAAACATTACAAAAATAGTATGGGATGCCGTATTTGTGACAGCGTTTGAAGTGAACAGTCTTGACAGAAGCCATTAATAATGATCTAGAAGGGTGGCAGCTGCTACTGCCGTAGCATGAGCTGGTGAAAGGTACCCCTTTGCTCTACCCAAAAGCAAGGAGAAGGCTAATGTATTTTTCTTTTTCACAAGTTGAGTCAAATACTATTCATATTCCATAGTTACTTTAAAAGAGAAAACAGAGCTGTAATGCAAAATGTAAATTTAAATGGGGTTGCCTGAAGAAGCTGAGCTCTGTGGTGTTCCAGATCAATGCTGATACAATGGAAATTTACCTGGAGCAGGAATAGATGATATGAAGCATTAGAATAAAGCTTATGTGTAAAAAAAAACTATGCCTGGCAAGCTTTTACAGTCATTGTCTTAGTGAACAAAGAGCTTGCAGGTTGGAGCGGGGATCCAGAGCTAAGGGATAGAAGGAGAAACCTTCCCTGGTGACATCAGAAGATATCAAAATAAATGAATTTTCATCCTAGAAATTTCTGCTCAGTGTCACCATTGGTGGTTGCTGCGCCATGATGCTCCATCAGCCTTCCTTCCATGATGTTTGGAAGAATTTCTGAGGAACACATTCAGTAACTAAGGCTGCTAATTGGAAAATCCTGTGGAAGAAAAACAAAGCCAGTGACAGCCCTTGATTTCTCTTTGCCCTGTGTGCTGTCACTAGGAGATATGTAGAACACTGTAAGCTAGACTTTGGGAACACAGTAAGAATGAAACAAGTTAAAGAAAACATAATTGCAAGTCTCCCCTTGTGAAAATGTATTGGTGATCACACCAAGGTGTGTGACTGGAGCTGAGAACAGGGATTTTATTTCTCCTGGTACTGTTAAACTAGAGAATATTAAAATTCTTGCTTTCCTTCCACTCCCAATCCTTCCATTCCCTCCCTTACTTTAGTGGTTGCAATGATAATGCTAGTGTGCCAGTTTCCATTAAGTATGGAAAACAGTTCTGATTAAATCATCTAAAACAGAAGTTTTATTGCAAACATATGTTAAACCGAATGTGTTCTTAAGTTAATTTTCTATTGCTCTTTTGTCCAAATTAGATAGTTTCAATCATCGGAAGTGTGATTTGGGAAAGATGGGAGTTCTTGGAACCCGTTGTTTTGTGAGAAGAGAAAGTTCTTGTTTGTTTAAATATTTGCACTGGTAATAGATGCTTACAATGACGTTTATTCAGTACATTGAAGATCATTTCAAATAAAATAAATGTCACATAATACAGCATCAAACATTTTAACTGAAGGAAACAACTGGTGATTTTCAAATATAAAGGATTTTGCCTCAGTAATTTAAGAATTAACATGGGCTGAAGTAGTGATGGACACAGCTAAAGATGAGCAGCTGGGGAGCAGCCCTGCAGAAAGGGGCCTGGCAGTGCTGGTGGCAGCAGGCTCAGCGTGAGCCAGCCACGTGCCCTGGTGGCCAGGAGCCCCAGCAGCATCTAGGGCTACATTACAGACAACATGGATACCGTATCAGCTCCAATACCTAGTGCAATTCTGGGCTCCAAAATTCTGAAAGAACATTAAAGGACTTGGAAGTGTCCAGAGGACTGTGACAAAGCTGGTGGCAGCACTGGAGAGGAAGAGAGGCTGAGGACACTGGGGTTGTCCAGTCCAGAGAAGAAGAAGCTGAGAGGTGAGATCATTACAAAGTAGAACTCATTGGTCGAGATTAAAAAAATATTTGCTAAGATAGAGAAAAAGAGGAGAAAAAAATATACATAAGGTATGAAACAAGGGATGCAGAAGCAATTGCTCACCACTTGCCTACCAATGCCCCCACAGTGGCAGGCCATCCAGTGAACTCCCCCTGTTTGCAAGCTTTCTTTCTGCACTGATGCCATGTGGTAAGGGATATCCCTTTGTACATTTTAGGTCAGCTGTTCTCTTTCAGCCCCTTCTTCCCTCCTCACCAGCAGGACAGAATGAGAAGTTAAGGAGCAAAAATGTTCTTGGCTCTGTTTGAGCACTGCATTGATGACTCCAAGGTACCTGACCTTCAGAGAGGCCAGAAGACACTGTGAGGTGTGGGGAGGGCTCTCTTGTGTTGCACAGAGAAAAAGCACTCAAATAAACAGAGCATGCTACCCGGAGAACTGGTTAGGGCTAATCAAAAGGAAATAATAAGGATCGGGCTTAAATCCCATTCTTCCTGATAACCTAAGGTTTGTCTAAGAATCAACAAGATGAGTTCTATTTTCTGGAGAAATGATGGATGAACGACCAGAAGTCATTCCATTGTGCCACTTCACAAGAGCAACACAGGATTATTAGAACTGAATTGTTCTAATAATGAGCCACTGCATGTTTTGGCTATGAGTGATCAGAGAACTCACTCAGCCTGTTGGAGACCCCAAAATCTTCCTCACTAAGTTCAGATACACACCTTTTTCCTCGTATTTCGTAGAAAATCATAGAAAAAAGGAGTGTCACAGGATACAAGATTCATAAAGGAGGTGGTAATAAGGTGATTTGATAGCTTGAAGAGCAAGGGAATGGCCTACTTCTCTTTGTCAAAAGACTATCTCTGAATATTATTCAATATTTCAAATAGGATTTTCATAAATTGCCTGTAATTTTGATTTAATGTGTATAATTTTATTCAATAAAGCTGTTAAAGATTATAGTTTTGTCATTGTGGGTGTATGAATTCAATTTCTAGCATAGATTAAAATTTATACCTGTGATCAATCTTAATTTTTTCTTCATACATTACCTCATTTCAACTAAAGTTAATGTCCAAAAATGTCAAAAATGATTATTACATGGACATATAACTTCAAGGTTTATAGAACTCCATAACGGAAGAAAATTCCATCTTAATAAGAGTCAAGTCAAACAAAAATGGATTAATAAAAAAAGACTGGGAGCCGCTCATGTAAAAGCTAAAAAACACATGCTTGTGTGTGATGCAGGAAAACTTTGTACGCTTACCGAGTAAACCTTCTTAGGTCTTGACTGTGGCAGGAGTTAAGTTTCATTAGTTGAATGTACATAAGTACTTTCAACACCTTTGAAAGAGTTACCTGCCAGGATACGTAAAGCTCCAAGCACCCCATCGTGTCACACAGCTGAGCCAACAATTTTTCCCCAAAAGCCACCATTCTGTAAAGACACAGAAGTATCAGAAGGGAAACGAGCCTGGTCTTTGCCAAAAGGTAATGAGTGATGTGTATTTGTTTAAGTTCTCACATGATTCCTATTACTTATTATTAAGAGTGTCATCCAAATTTTTCAGAATATTCATTGGGTTGACAGACTTTTTTCTCATGTTAGGGACTATTTCACTCATCTTTCAAACTTATCAGTGTGAAAACAGCATCTGAAAGTCTTGACAAATGACAAAAAAAAAACACAACAGATTGTATGTGTATATCATAATACACTTACCAATAAAGGAGTACCCTTTCTTTTCACTGTTGGTTTTAAAAAACAGCAAGAGTGCTAGAGTTGATCCTCATTTCTGTCTCACTGGATTTATTACTGTGTGGCATTTGCCTGCATGATAAGGCACGTTAACTAGGGTTATCTTCAGTACCTTGAGGGCAGGTTGGGTTGGGGAAGTATTCGAGCACTCTTGAAACTGGAAGTATCAAATTGCAGTTTGCCATTATCAGCGAAATCATCACTGAGAGCTTGTGTGGGTTTGATCTGTAACTCAGGGCTTCTCAATGGGGGCAAAATCTGGGCTCTGATCTTGGGGTTCTGGTTGGGGAGACTTTGGTGGTTGTGTCCAGGCAAAAGGTTGCACGTTACATAAACCAGGTCCCACACAGGATTAGAAATTTATTTATGCAAAATTGGGCTGTTGACTTAGTTTTTAATTGGCACTTCTACCCACTTATGGTTCATATAGTCAGTCCGAAGAGGGTACCATTTACCTCCTACTCTGAACTGAGAATGTTGAGCATCTGCTTTTTAGGCTCCAGATAACAGCTTTATCTGGGAGGGGAAAAAAAAAATTCCCAAGGGAATTTTTCTGCTGAGGCATTTGAACTAATTACTGAAAGACCTGAATTGAATTTACAGACAGGTATCAATCTCTCTTCTGGTGTATGAGTGTCACAGGAACAGGGAGGAAACCAATGTTTAAAACACAGTCGTGATAGTGTTTTTAGCAACTACTAAGTAAAAGCAGCAGTAAATACAAGAACTTAAAAGTGTGAATCACATGGCTTATCATGTGTCTGCTCTACAGTAAAAAAGTAAGCTGGCACTGAGCTGCCAACCCCACAGAGTGCGGTGGGAAAACAAAGCTGACTCACCCCAAAGGATGCACAAAAAGGACATTGAAATGAATTCTGCATAGATCCTTTTTGTGCCATTCCTTGAGATTCCTGACGTGGTATCTTCTTGTGTCTAATGTATTGCATAAGGAAAGATAAAGCAGGGTTTTTGTTTTTGTATTCACCTCTGATATTGGGTATATAGCTAAGTATGATATATAGTATATATAGAAATATACAGTACATATTAGCATTAGTACATAGTCTAAGTATAGCTTATACTCATCCACTTCCTAGCTAAGAGAGTGCAATGAATTAGAATCTCTGATATGCAAAAAGCATTTCAAATACAATAAACCACTGTAGCAACACCAGACCTTAAGTAGTCAGAAAATCTACCAACTTCAAAAGGCATCACATAAAAGAAGAAGTTTGATAAAAATTTCAACATTCCAGAATAAATGATCATTGGATAGAGTTCTGGAAATGGGCATACGTTTTCCCTCAGTTCTTGAGTGATCATACTCAATAATTACACCTTTCCCATGGCAAGAAGTCAATGTCAAAAACGTTAAGCAATGCAAGCATCACAAATCTCTGTTTCTCACTCTACAGCCCAAAATTATTTGGATTAAGCCCATTGTGCAACTTGGGCAACAGTAGAAATATTTCTGTCTTCAGGTGAGGGTGCCTGGTGAGAACAAAGCAGTATTTGAGTATGCTCCATCCACACATCTGGGTCTAGTACTAAATGTGGAGGTTGGTGGCCCTGCCAGTGGTGGGGGATTGGAGAGTCATGATCCTTGACATCCCTTCCAACCTGGGCCATTCTGTGATTCTGTGTATGATTCTTGAACCTTGGGAGCTCTGATAATACTTTGGATCCTGAAAGAAAGCATATTTTTAAAAGAATCTCTCTTTTGTACCTGGATTATTTGCTTTATACAGTAGCAAACTACTAAGAAACCACTGCAAGTTTGGATCCCCAAGTTGCATGTACAAGAAGTCAGTCTACCTGTGAATTTAGGAAAGGCATGATCCCACAAAATTTAAGAACTGGATTTTAGATTCTAATTAAATCTCATTTGAAAGTCAAAGAGAAAGAAGAGATGCATTCAGCAGTAGGCTGAGCCAGGAAAGCTAGATATAAACTGGCTGAAGTGTTTCACTGAAATGTTATTTTATCAGATGACCCAGGTTTAGGACTGTTGAAGCAAAGTAGAAGGTCATCTCTCTGAGATATTTATGCAAATTTTAATCAACCTTTCAACCTAAACAGCAAAACTGAGCAGAATTTTAATAAGCTGTTCCTGGCGTCCTCTGTAGTTCTGTTTTGTTGTTCTGCTTTTACATTCCTTTTTCAACTGAAATATTTATAAGCTTGTCAAATTAAAAAAAAAAACAAACAAAGTAATTTATGCTAAATGGGGTTTATTGCATCAGGCTGACTACTGATGCAATAATTTAAAGCGAAGAATAAAGAAGAGAAATCATCAGGCATAGATGAACATGTTTCCATCAAGTCTTCTAATCTATATCATTTTATGTCTAGGTGAAGTCTGAATTAGTGTAAGAAACTTAGAAATTATGCTGATAACATAAACTAGGTATCTTTGGATTTTAAATACTAGATCTATGACCAGAGTGCTTTCTTTAACTAATCTTTAGATACCAGAACAGCCCAGGTTTGCTGTTTCTATACACAAATAATACACTTTTTAATAAAACTGTAACATGTTTTCTATCTCTTACACTGTAAATGATATGAGGCAATTTCTTCTAACTTTTTTCACGTACACTTTTGAAAGCTTTTTCTTAGTAGATTTATTATGTGTAAGATCTTTCAGAGCAAGATATCAATACTAATCAAACTTTGCATTTTTCAGTGAAAAAATATATAGCAACTGACTTGACATCTGCAGTGAGAGACATTCAGGTGTAGTTATTGATGGTACGGAAATGTTCACAAATACAAACTCACAAAGACAAATATACACAAACATACATACGTACATAAACATACATATATACATACTTATGTGTGTAATGAAGAAATGCTTTCTGCTGTTTCATTTCCCATTTCTCCTGTTTCTTGCTAAAAAGAAGATTCTCTGTTATGAAAAAGTTAAAGCTGTGTTGTTCCTGTGTCTTTCGGCTGGGATTTGAAATAAGGGCACATAGGCTGTAGAATCTTTATTTTTGGGAACCTGTAGCTAAAAATGGACCAGTGGTAGTGACAGTTGTATCATAATGCACTCATGCGACTTGACTCTAAAAGTTTATCCTAGGAACAGCATATACCAAGGGCAAAGGGGTTTCTGAGTTCTGAGTCGTCCTAACACAGCCACAAAGATTTGCAAAGTGGGCAAGTATGGCTGCTTTGAATGACTAGTGGATGAGACTTTTGGGTAACTGTTGTAAATATTGCTTCTTTCAAAATAACTGGTCTTTGTAAAGAAATATTTGGGAAATTATATATACTAGGATGCATCAGTCTGTAATTTATATTTTAAAGACAGGCCATAGGACCCAACAACCCAACTGCTAGTAATGATCTGACTGATTCCAGAGAAACTGACTGTGGGACTGTGCAAGGCAATTGTTTTATGGAAAGTATTGTTTAAAATGAAAAAACAAAAAAGCATAGTGGAAAAGCATCAATGGACACATTAACAACAGATAACGATAACATTATGTAATAATTAGAGAACAAATAACGCAAACGTGACATCTCTTCATTTGTAACTGTCTGAACTGAGAAGTAGAATGCAGGAATATCTCTCAGTTGCATGAAAAATTTTGGGTTGTGCCCCTTGGTGTGTGAATTTGTCATGTTATGGGCCTGTTCAGTCAGGCACAGGCAGGAACAGCGCATCACTACCTCCAGGGACAACATGGCACTCACATAATCCAGTCTTATGCTCACCACAGTAATGGAGCCTTACCATTTACATTGCTGGCTTCCCTCCCCTAGTGTATGTATAGTGTACAAATGTCCCCTTTGTACTATGGTTTTTAATATAATTTGAATCTGGAGAGTAGGGGAGGAATTGATATAGATTCATTGCCAGCCAAAAGATCGATCTAAAAGGAAAGCCTGAATGTTTGCTTTACTGCATGTGAAATAAAAAACATAATAGTTTTTTAATCGCAGTAGCTGGAGTTGTCTTTGAGACAGAGATGGTGTATATCCTCTGTTGGCTTGCCAAGTGAAGAATTTCAATTTTTTCTTTAGTATTCTTGCTACTTGCTTTTCTGTGTTTGAGTTATTCATTTAATCTGCCATTTGTCTTGCTTGGACTATTCTGATGGAGGCGCTTTAGGAAAGAAGCCAGACAGTGTTTTTTTGCACGCTCCAGATGTTTGCAATAACATACTACTGAGCTGAATGCCAGCAATAAAGGGACACTGCTCGAACAGGAAATACTTTGCATCTGACACCAAGCAGTGTGTCGCTAGGGGAGAAGAAGGTACAGATTTGTCAACTGACAGTTAGCAAGCAAGAAGAAACAAACAAACACGAACAAAAACATCTTGGTAAAATCAGATTAAGGACAAAACTTCCAGAAACTGATTTCGAAGAACAAGTACAATAAATGACTAACATAAAATATTGCTCTAGGATTGTTGCTGAGACATATTCAGCCACAGTTCTACTTTTAGTCTTACAAGCTGAGTTTCTGTTTTTAATAAAGAAAAAAAAGAAAATTCGACACTTTCCAAAAAGTTGTACAGAACGTGTTCAACAAAGGAAAGAAAATCACCTTCCATTTGTCTTATACTCTAAAAACAGTGGGGTGTATATGTGCAAGAAAGATAGTATAATCATGATTTCCTTTTCCTGACCCATTTTGTATTCATATTTTGTCACATTTGACACTGTTCTGACTCACATTAAGTCAGACATTTTTGATAATTCTCTCCACCACAAAAGTGGACACCGAACCGAAAATTTATTGTGGGAACAAAAATGCATTTCTGCATTCTTCAAAGACACGCTGGCATACAATTCATTTGCCTTATTCCCCCAGATTAAACTAACAGTATTTTTATTTTGTCTCTGCCTATCCTCTGGGTTATTGTCAAACCAAGCTCATACTGTCACATCACCTCTAGGTACCGTAATCCAACTGAATTTGGGGTTTATTATCATGTTTTACCAACTCCATATAAATTAATTGGATGAGTTTTACTTCGAGAAAATGGATCTTTGTTGAATTAAAAGAACTCACAGATACAGCTGATTCATATTTTTAAAATAAGATCATCCACATCTAGGTACAGAAAGACAAATTTTCAGGAACCAAGCTATTTATAACTCTTCCTTGGCAAACTTTTCATAATTTTTCACATTTTCAGAGAAACATCAATAGCTGAAGTTTGGCTGAACAAAGCCCAGTGCAATGTAGTACTGGGGAATGTTCCAGACAGAGGATAGTTCACTTGCTGTCATTGTTTTACAGCTTTTCAGGAGGCCTGATGGAACACTATCACCTCAAAGAGCGCCGGTTTCAGGAAGTTTATCTTCCAACAGGGTAATATTTCTTACTTCCTCGCAAAAAGGTAATAAATTTTGGGAGCTGATATTCCGGTCCAGAGACATTTATACAGGTTTCTCTTTGGATTTTGTTAAGTAATGTGACACTCCACCCTGAGCAAATTGATGGAACCAAACATGAGTCATGCATGGGAGACATTTTGTTCAGATTTAATAGAGAAGCTCTTGCATATAATTCCTTATGCTGGTCCAAAATATTCTGCTGTTTTTGCCACCACATCACTCAACTGCGGACTTCCCAGATAAGAAATTAACTTGTGTTGCCACCCATACCCACTGCAAACGACATAAATTTGTATGCCGTTTGCCTTGAGATGAAAAGCACATACTCTAAGATGTCCATTTTGCTTCCTAAGCATTCAGCTCCATCTTACAGTTCTGTGCTATAAATAATCAGAGCTATAACATTTTTAAAAATATGGAAATCCATAATTTGAAATATTTGTGGGTTGAGCACTTGACTAAAAGCACAGGACAACAAGAAAGTGGTGCAGAGCCTCTACTTTTATCCTGATTTCCATTATGTTTGCTATTTACTATCTGTAAGCAATCCAGTTTAACTCATAACTGTGCACTTTTTTTTTTTTAATCCTAATTTTCTATTTGAGGGAAGCATATTTACTTTTTACTCTTTAACTGAAGGCAGCCTTTCAGCCTCTACTCGGATGAACTGTTATGATCTGGAATGTGAAACTGCCACTCTTCAGCATAATAGTGAAAGGACTGTGTAAGAAAAACAAATAGGAGGCATAAAGTTAAACAGGGCACAATTTTCCCATTTTGGGGAAAGATTAGCCTTCTAGCTCACTACTCTTCTAGGTCAGAAAAGATAACAGATCAGAAACTATGGTTAACAAGGGCTTGGACTGGCAGACAGTGGCTTTGTATTGCAGCTTTTTACTATAGGGTAGTATGACCTGTCACACTAATGCATGACTAATTCAGAATTTTCCAATGAATATTTTAGTTAGTACCTGTCCAGAATGATAGCTTGTGGCAATTGAAGCTTTCTTTCATGATTCCATTTAGGAAAAAAAAATACAGGCTTAATATTTCAGTGCTCTCTTGTCATTTAGATGGAATATTTCCTTTACAGACAAAATCAGAAGGAGGATGTAAAATAAATCAAGGTTTCATTTAATTGTTTTCAAAGGTCATTAATTCTGCAAGGTAGCTTTATGTCTGCTAAGCCCTCTAATTTTGCTTGGAAAATGTGAAAATGTTTTGAATAAATCAGAATATATGTTTGCTTGACAGTTTTTTCTATTTCTACATTTGACAGCTGGAAGAAAACACAAAACAAACACCTTCAATAGGTAACAGGAATCAGAATCACAGGAACACCATGGTTGGAAAAGACCTACAAGATCATCCAGTCCAACCATCAAACTATCACCAATATTTCTCACTAAACCACATCCCTCAACACAAAATCTAAACGTTCCTTCAACACCTTCAGGGTCAGTGACTCCACCACCTCCCTGGGCAGCCCATTCAGTGCCTGACCACTCTTTCAGAAAAGTAGCATTTCCACTACAACCTCCCTTCAAGTAGTTATAGAGAGCAATAAGCTTTAGAGAGCCTCCTCTTCTCCACACTGAACAATCCCAGCTCCCTTAGCCACTCCTCTTAAGATTTGTGCTCCAAACCCCCCGCCAGCTTTGTTGCCCTTCTTTGAACCCGCTCCAGGGCCTCAGTGTCTTTCTTGCAGAGAGGGGCCCAAAACTGGACACTCGAGGTGCAGCCTCACCAATGCTGTGTACAGGGGGACAATCACTTCCCTGTTCCTGCTGGCAACACGTTCTGATGCAAGCCAGGATGCCATTGGCCTTCTTGGCCACCTGGGCACACTGTGGCTCATGTTCAGCCGAGCATCAATCAATACCCCCAGGTCCATTTCCTCTACGCAGTCCTCCAGCCACTCCGCCCCAAGCCTGTAGCGTCGCCTGGGGTTGTCGTGGCCGAAGTGCAGGACCCGGCATTTGGCCTTGTTGAACCTCATCCCATTGGCTTCAGCCCAGCTCTCCAGCCTGTCCAGATCCCTCTGTAGGGTCTCGCTACCCCCAGGCAGATCGACACTTCCAGCCAACGTGATGTCATCCGCAAACTTTCTGAGGGAGCACTCAATGCCCTCATCCAGGTCATCAATAAAGATACTGTAGAGGACAGGCCCCAGCACCATGTTCAGTAAACAGTGATGAATGTCAACGGGCGCCATTTTTTCTCAGGGAATTTAGTTCTACACTGCTATGCACTACATACACACTTCTCTGTCAGGCACCATTCAGTCAGACTGCCCCTCTGCTGCGGAACAGAATAATGGTGTGAAGGTTCAACCTCTGCTGCCATATCACCACCATCCAAATCTGACCTTCAAAAATGGTCAACGCTTGTGGATTGATGCTTTGTTTTAACCCACACAGATGAAGCCCAAAGAGGGCAACTAAGTGCCTGTTTTTATTTCACAGAAGACCTCTGTGGAACACTGACTGAATGCAGAAAGGCAGACAGTTGATTTTAATCATTTATGTTTCGGTTATTATCTTTGTAACATTCAAAAATTTAGGCTGGGTTTGTAGAGTAAAATGTCAATTTTGTTGTTTTGGTGTAACATACGGATCACAGTCCCTGGAACTATCAGTTATCCCCTTCAAGAATTTGGGGATGAAGGGAGTGGGATAAAGAACTCTTTTATCCAACTTGCTGAGCAAGTAACAAGCATTTCTAACCTCAGAAACTACAGGGTCTGTGGAGGACCCATGGCATTAAAACCTGGCCCTGGTTGCTCCCAAGTGGCTGGCAAGTAACTACAGCAGAATTGATTGCAGCACCCACTGGGAAGATAAGAATATATCTCCATGGCTAAACCAATATCCCAGTAGGAAATTTACTGCCTGAATCAAACTCATCCAAGTGGTATCCATGTTGGGACTAGCAATTGCACTTGGGTTTATCATAAAATGAGCTATGAGACAGGAAACCACACTTTTTATAAACTAATAATATTACTTTATATAGGGGAAGGATTTCCTAATTTCTGTTCCTACACAAACAGCACTCTGTTCCCTGAAGCTGGAGGTACGTACTGCTGGGAGCTCCATGTGGGGCTTGGAGATGTAGGTGGTGCAGAGTA